CGTCGAAAGTGTCCAAGGATGATCGCGCGACTTTTATAGTGTGTCGATGAAAACGCGCGACAGCGATTTTTGACGATATTCAGTGATGGCGTCATCGCGAAGATGGAACGAAGTTGCGTCGCGTTATTCACGCCCTTGATGATGATTATCGGATGCGAGCGAGTATCGGGAGTGCCGAATAAAGTATCGCGCGTTCGTGTTGATGATATCATGTGTATCAAAATCGGAATGGGACGTCCCGAGGCGAGCGAGTGGAGCGGCCTGTGGAACAGCCGGTGAACGGTGAGTAGATTTGATTTATCATATTTGCGTGACAATTCATGCTCATTCGACGTTTATACAACATTGCGATGTCTCGAATTACGTTTGAACAAATCGGCGCCGCATCATAATTCGATGCGATGCCGTGCAATTCAAATAAAGTCGATCGCGTGAAGATGGTTCGGCTAGAAGCGATTTCAAATTTATTTTGTACGTGCGCGCAGTGCTGCACATCTCGTAGGGCAGCCTATCTCGTAGGGCTGCCAACTGTTAAACGATAAATTTGTTTGATCTAACCTAACCTAACCTAACCTAATCTCTCAGTGTCTTTGGATATCGAATGTAAATATAAGCGTATGCTGCCTGGATTGTATCATGCTTTTAAAAATAATATTTAATTATTTCATTAGTGTATTACATTTTATTACGTAGTATATTAATCGCATTAAATGTGCGACGTACAGTTTTACACATTTTAATGAGGAGCATATAATATAATTGGTTAGATTAGATTAAATTAAAACAAGCTGCTGTGATTCATTTAACGTAATAGGATTAATTTGACGAACGTGCAGCTATTGAAGTTACATGATATTTGTGGACACATTTTTAAAGTAATCATGAGTGTCTTATCTCATCTCGATTACATAAAATTAAAATATAAAATTTATGTATTCCACATTAACGTTTTTCATTACAAGTACTATATTATTTTTCTTATATCTCAATTGTATTATCACATTATTTCATCGATGAAGCTTTTCATATATCGCAGACAATATGATACTGTGTGTGGAATTTTACACAGGTAATATGTGGCACAAAAATAATTTGCTCTCAAGTATTGTGCGCATTTCTTAAAAATAAATTAAATTATTTTCAAAATCCAAACATCGCTACATTGCCAGGATTGTATCTTATTATAACTGCGATATTATCACCTTTTAATATGTGTGCGCAGTATTACATACATAAAATATATAAATTTATTTGAAACGTACTGAAATCTTTATCTTATTTATAATATTCATGATATTATAAAAGAAAAATTGCAACTCTAATGAAACAGAGCGATGGAATAATTGGTTGATACTTATGCTGATCTACAATATTTACCCTTTTTTCACCATTAGACTTTTGGTGCTTTTTTTATTATACAGATGTTATCTGTAAATATAGTACTCGTAATGTTGTTTCTGTATCACTGTAAGCATACAAAAATGATAGCATTTGCAGGTAATTATGTTATATTTATATATCGTAAGAAAGAGAAAATAAAATTAAAGTTGAATACTGAATGTGCCCTAAAGTAAATCTCATCTAAATAAATAAATGCATAAATGTGCGCTCCACATTCCTCATGAAAAAAATACATAATATTAATCTTTATGTATTATTTTTAGATTTGTTTTTATTCTTTTAAATTCTCTAGATGCACTTTTCATTTCTGCTCTCTTTCTTTCCAACTACTAAATATACTACTAATCTATCATTTTTAATATAGATCTGTCATTTTTAGTGTACATTATTGCAGTAAGTGGAATAAAGAGCAAAATCTTTTGGCACATTTAAAATGTACAGAAAAGTCAGTTTTATCTGATGCATTTTATTCAATAGAAATATTTAAAAAAATCTGAAAAAATTCATACGTCTTTTTAAATCTTATTCTTTCTAAATAAAAATTAGAATAATAAATTTGCAAAATAATTTGCTTTAATATATTTTTATTGCAAATATATGAAGTAAAATGCTCAAGGTGCATCACTATGAAAACATCGATAGAATAAAAAATAGATCGTATACGAAAAAATTAAAATATTTACACTACATATAGCATTTGATATAGCATTTAATCGATATGTGCAGTAATACGATAAAATCTAATTTTCTCTCGAATTTTTTCACGAAATTTAGACTACTAAAAAGACATCAAATATTCAAATTGTTCAATAGTCTTGCGAAAAAAGCAGTTCTCGCTTAAAGAATCTTTAGAAAAAAAAATACAAAAAATTCCAAAGAAAAAAAAGGACAAAAAATTTTAAATCTCACGTGGATATTTAATTTTATACTAATATTTCTAATGTAACGCTTCATTTATAAAGATTTTATTTTGTGAAACGTTTATACATAAAAGTACAATGATTATACAGCTTCTTTATTCTATTGTTTCATCTTCGCGTGGTTTTCGTTTATAAAATATTTGTGCCTCTGGATATTTTTCTGTCAGAAAATGCAGTTTTCCATATTTCGCTAACAATTGTATTTTCGTTTCATCGGAGTTTCTCGTTCGTTCAAATCCAACATTCCAATTTTCTTTTGTAAGACGGAAGTTTAGTAAAGAATGGCAGTAATTTCTTCTTTTTCAACACCATTCTTTTATCCATTACATACTGCATAAAATCGAGAGACTCATTGACGGTACTTCTGGTTTTCTGATTTGCGCTGGTGAAACAAGTACTACTGGATAATTCCCATTTTCCGATTTAACTTTGACTAAATGCTATCATTTTTCATCTGCAAATTGTTGATATTTCTGCAAATATTTCCATTATTTTGAGATTGATTTGTTTCATGATATATTGCAATAATTAAAGTATGATTACTGATATAATCTGCCATGAGACTACAGAGAAAGCCAGCTTTAATTCTTTATTTTGTTCAATATTTTTAATAATATAATAATTAAATTAAAGTTCTATGAAAATATGCTTGAAATACTAAATAAAAAAGATTGTTTCTTATGTACAACCTTATAAAGTTTAAGTAAACAAAAAATCATTGTTAATAATATACATATATAAATTGATAATTAAATAAAACAATTAATTAATTAATCGACACAATTCACGTTTTTTTTAGCTTTATGTCTAACATATATATATATATATATTTTTTTTTATAAATAAAAAATGTTTCTTTCTAATATAAATTAAATAAAAAGTATAATATGCCTTTAAATACTTTATATTCACACCTATTGCAATAAACCAATACAGTTTAGAATGCTTTTACATTCCTCCTTGTACTTTGGCATACATATCCTTTATGCCAATTATCTCACAACATGCTTTTATCGCATGGTGACAAACAAGCCCATTATCCTTCATGAATTTTCTTTACAAATATTTTTATATTCTCAAACTGTGTAAAGAAATCATGTGACACTGAAAAATACAAAGTGATATTAAAAGAGAAGAAATAAATTTTATATTATATAGTATTAACAAGTATTTTCATACCAGTGTGTTCCTTATATGTAGGAATATACATTAATCTTTGACCAGCTCTATTTTTAATCGTCTTTAGGGATGCTTTGGCTTTTGATAACGCAAATCCAGCCAATCCATTTCCATTCCCAATTACTATAAATGAATTGATTCTAGTCTTACGTGCTAAATTACCAGTCATACAAGTTATCATTTTGTTTTCCAAAATCCAGGTTTCAAAACTTTCAAATGTATCTGCAGAAAACAAAGATATTAATTATATAAGATTCTAATATTTAGAACTGAAACATAAAAAAAAAAATTGAAAATAGACATCGTATCACATGATTTTTGTATGTGTGTGATTTAACCATTATAATCCAATAATAGCATAAATATTAACCTTTTCCAATAAGATCTGATTCAATGCTTCTGTCATCTATTGTAACACTCGTCCAACCACATTCCAATGGCGATAATTTTATTTGCATTGATCTGGTCTGACTTTGCGGTAATTCCATAAGTTTTTGCTTTCTTTCAAGATTTACAAGCAGTTTTTGCTCCATCTTATCTTGTTGAGATCAAAATTGCGGTACTTTGTTAATCTAGTGACTTTATTTTTAGCAGAAGTGACGTCAGATACTGCTGTTCATTTTACCATTGGTCGCATTCAGTGGACTCAAAGTTGGATAACATTACTAGATTTTCCGACGTAATTCGACGCTGATTGGTCGAAGAGTAGGAACCAATCATATTCGATTGTTACTTAGCGGTTGAGTCCGCTGAATGCGGCGTGAATTTCTTCAAAAGCCACGCGGTTGATAAACCACGTTTATCAGAATATTTAAAATGACGAAGAAAATATTGAAGAGAAAGCAACAAGAAGTGGAAAAAGAAGATGAACCGAAAAAAATAATGTCAGATGAACCTGCTGCTAAGAAGGTAGGTGAATATAATCTACATTTATATTGTTACGTTTTTAACCTAATTATAATATTGTACATTTTTGGATTTAAATAAAAATGTTACATTTTATAAAATATCATACTTTTTTAAGATACGTTCAATAAAATTCATTGATCAATAATTCGGAAAAACAATTAATTTTTACAATCGGCACTTTATTTTTTATGATCCCTATGATTATGTTGCAAGTTTATTTATTAATGAGAAATCAAAATTAGAAGAAATATAATCTTTCTTATAGGTAAAATGGATCAACAGACAACGAGTATTGGTTTTTGCTACTCGAGGTATCAATTATAGGCATCGACATCTTATGGATGATTTAAAAAAGCTAATGCCACATCACCGTCCAGAATGCAAGATGGAACGTACTAAAAACTTACAAGTAGTGAATGAAATGTGTGAGATGAAGAATTGCAACAAAGCTGTTTTGTTTGAAGGTCGAAAAAAGCGTGATCTTTATGTATGGTTTGCTAATGTATCTACTGGACCAAGTGCCAAATTTCTTGTAGAAAACAGTATGTATCATTCCTATAATCAGACTAAGAAATTGTGTGTAAGAAATTAACTGTACACATCTGATTTACTTTATTTACAGTTTATACAATGGGAGAACTGAAGATGACAGGAAACTGTTTAAAAGGATCACGGCCATTATTATCCTTTGATGAAAATTTTACCACACATGCACATTACAGTCTCTTGAAAGAGTTATTAACACAGATTTTTGGTGTACCAAATCATCATCCTAAAAGTCAGCCATTCTTTGATCACATATATACATTCAGCGTTCTAGACAACAGGATATGGTTCCGAAATTTCCAAATTTTGACCGAAGATGGTGGATTAGCTGAAATTGGACCAAGATTTGTCTTGAATCCAGTCAAGATATTTGCTGGAAGTTTCGGCAGTGATACTTTATGGGATAATCCACATTATGTATCTCCTGCCAAGGTAATAAAACAATTGTATTTGATGAATAGAATTGTACAATTTCTTTTATTATCTATGTAAAAAAATTACTTTCTATCTATTTAAAAATTTTTTAGTATCGACAATCACTGACAAAGAAAGCTGCCAATAAATACATAAACAGAGTGGAACAGAAAATGGCACAGAAGGCAAACAAACCTGACGAATCTTATTCATTTAATCCTACAGATGAGATATTTAAGGGCGATTTATTGGAAAAAGCAAAGGAAATAGAAGAAAAACTTGAGGTATTCGATAAGAGTGAAAATATGGAAAAAATTATGAAAAAAGTTAAAAGTAAGACAAAAAAGATAAAAAAAAAATCTGTTGCAACTAAAAACATTAAAAAAGCAAAATCTGTAAAATCTAAAGCTTTGAAAAAAAGAAAGTAAAATAAATGTTATTGTCTTATAATATTATTAAAATAACTATGCATCTCGTGTATGTATATATATATATATATATATATATATATATATATATATATATATATATATATATATGATTTATTTCATTTTATGGAATTATTTAGCATTTACAATTAAACATTTTATATACTTAATTAAAATATAATTCAAAATATAATTCAAAATATAATTAAAAATTAGAAATAATGATTAATGATCATGTTCCATAAAATTTTTATTATGAGAAGCAATTTTAAATTTTATTTTAGAAATAAAATTTAAGGTTTATGGACAACATTTGTCAGAACTCAATACAGCAAAATAATAATAAATAGATTTCTTTATTATTTTTTTCATTAGATATGTAATTTTATGAAAGTTGAACAAGTGAAACAATCTCATTGCATGTTATTCAATCTCATAATGTGATATTCATACATATAATGTTATTAAATTAATATAACAAAGTCACCTTTTCATTGAATGTGTTATGCATATATTTGTGTTGCTCTTAGAAAATTCTTCAAATTTAATATAATTAAATAATACAAAATTATTTTTTAATAATTATTTCTTAATTAAAAATACACGGTTAGTATTCAAGAAAATTAAATTTTTTTTCAACATTAATATAGCTGCTTAATATACTATCAGCAATGTGTAACAAATTGATATAATTATTATAATAATACTCGTTGATTTTATTTAAAGCATATTGAATCAAACTGCCCGATAATACTTTGTACTAATTGCTATACTTATTGATACAAATTCATATAATTATATTAGATGTAATCTAAAATATTTTAAAAGTATCTTAGAAACCTATATATCTTTATTATCTAAGTATAAATTGAAGTTTTAATCTTGTACTTGTTTTTTTATGTATTTGATTGGAAGGAATGAGAGAGAAATATATAAAGTTTAGAAAATAGACTTTCCATTTGCAATAAGCAGAGCAACAATGTGTTTCATTGATATGATAAATACTCAATATATATCCATATAAGAATTGTACTTCGTATAAGACATTTTTTAAATTACAAATAATTGCACTTTGTTGCATTATAATGCATATTTTTTTATAAATAGTAATCATATACTTCCTTTGTAACAATGATTCTTTCATTTGCACTTGATATATTATTAAGATCAGTATAAATATCCTATTACAAATGTCCCTACAAGACACAATTGAATTTTTAATTTGTGCAATGGCACTTTGATAACATAGTGTTACATGTTTAAGAAAGATATAAATTGGATTCATATTTTTTGTTTGTTATTTACATATTAATATTGAATAAAATATGCCTATAGGAGGCTCTGAAAAGCTTATAAAACAATATATTCTAATCTTTTTTTTAATGATTCCGATAAAAATTATCGAATATATTTTAAAATCTGGCAGTTAAATAAAGAGCTTAAGATATTAAGTACAAGCAGATTATACATGTAGATAATTAATTGTCCGTATTGTTTCTCATTTTACAATTCATTTCATTGTATTATCAATCTGCGAGTTCGAGATTCTTGCGTGTGAATCAAAATTGCTTAAACATCTTTCTTGTGATGATAAAAAGTTCAACAATAATTCAGTCTGCACAAAATCTGATAATGGTATATCACAAAAGAAGACGTGTAGTCTTAAGTGGTGAACGTTAATAAAAGAAATCATAATATTAAAATTACATAATTAGATAAACATATATATAATGTATATATATATATATGTGTGTGTGTGTGTGTGTGTGTGTTTGTGATGTATGTACATATACGCGCATACACACACACACACACACACTTATGTATGTATATATGTATTGTTATATATAATATCATTATTATAATATTCATTTATGTTTCGTTATATATTAAAAATATGTTATGAATGATCTTATCTTCACATAATAGATATCTTTAAACACATTGTAAAAATAATTCTCGTGATAGTTTTTTGTAAAGTTATTTGTATAATACTGTGAAGATAGAAAGGAATGTATACATATATATATATATATATATATATATATATATATATATATATATATATATATACTTTCATTAATCTTATGTAAAGTGATAAAATACATAAAAACAAATATTCTAACAATATAAAAAAAGATGTGCGTACGAAAAGATGTGTATAAAAAATATGCATACAAGTCGACAAATACTTATTCATTTATCGGTGTCATTTCATGGGACTGTTGGCCATTCGCATTGCTGCTAGAAGCTCCGATTTGTGCTAACGCAGATTGGCGCCATTTTCCATTCTCACCATTCAAGTTTTTATCCTCGCATACACATAGGAATAGCGTGTCAATAACAGTCTAAAATGATAGAAATTATTTTATTAACAAAAGATATAAGATTTAATTAATTGCATTAATTGTTTTTTGCAAAACGTTGATAAAAGTTATAAGTTATAAGTATAAAGAATAAAGAAATATATATAACTCACCTCATAAAGGGAAATTATACAATGAGCGATGAAGAATGAAAAAACGCAAACAATAAAGATTGGAATAGCGTAAAAGTGCAACTTGGGATCTTGTCTCATCAAGAGCAATGCGACGCTTCCAGTTGTGGCCGTGACGAAACATTTTCCCAAGAACAATATAAAATCGCCAAATCCGTTTATCACCGCTATTTGCAGAGCATTACTGACGAGTGTTGTGAAGGCCTAATAGATAAAATTTATAGATCTTTTATCACATTACATACTTAATAATAATATATATATATATATATATATTTTTTTTTTTTCCTCTTTTCTTTAAAATTACATTGTGTCTATAATCTTTCTCTAGAGGAAGTTTATATTTTTTAGTATAGATTTTTTATATGTTTTATATTTTTTATTATAAATTCTTTGATATATTTTCTAAAACATACTGTTTTAGCTGCATCACAAAAATGGGTACCCTCAATAGCAACAACAGTATATGCATTATGATTCATATATCGAATAAATTTTTCTAAACAGTAGAAACAGCAAATGCAACATTTCAAACCACATTGAGAGCATGGAGATGTTTCCTTGGTCTTTTCAAATCTATGAAATAAATAAAGAGAGATAATGCTAGAGTAGAGTAATAATAGAAAAATATATGTTCAACATATAAATCAAACAATATTTGAAAGAAATAGAAAATATCTATTAAATGATTTTTTTTATCAAGAAACTTACTTGGTATGTAAATATGTTAAAATTAGTCTGGGTAATTTAAAAATGGTTATCAAAAATGATCCACATGCTACAGATCCTAAATGATAGCAGGCCAAATGTCCTATAGATGAACACACTGGAGATGTACTGGCATTTTTACCTCTAACAAAAATAATTAGTTATTTTATAAATATATAATATCTACCATAAAATATTTTAAAAATCAATATATTATAAAATAATACCTAAAGTACCAGTGGGCAACAGAACCCGATATTACCATGGTTTGACATCCAACAATAAATTCAGATGTCCATATTAGGCCGATAAGATACACCCACCACATGTATTTTACCCAAGTTGCATCAACATATTCCACAAGAGTAAATGCTACAATGTTTAATAACTTATTATATAATTTTCTTCATTGATAAGACAATCAATTACAATTAAAACAATACTTTACTTTTAAAACTTTCGAAAGGAAAGTCTATCTTTTTCTCTTCAATTAATGGAGCATTTTTACCAAGTGAACTTAAATTGAAAGAATCAAATATATGGTTTTCGTACATTTGTACTGATTTTGTTTCGGGATAATCTATAAAGTATAAAGTATAAACAATATATTTCTCCCTGATAATGAAATATCTCGTTTTCTGATTAAATATTGTAAAATACTTACTAGCTGTTGCGAGACAAAGAATTACAAATACCCAAAAAGCAAAAAATATAATTAAAGTTATAAATGTTAAGATTGGTTCAAAAAATAACCCGGGTAATTCTCTCAAGCATTTTGCGCTTTCTTTAAATAGTGCTGCCATAAAACTGATGCGTTTGCGTAGTATGCATGAAAGAAATAGTAAAATAATCTGTATAAAATTAAAAAATGATTTTATTTATATATATAAAAATAATTTCTACATTAGTTATATAAATTTGTTAATTAATATTTATATATTTTCTTACTATAGTTATACTTACAGTGATAATAGTAGCAATAATGGAAAATGCGAGAAACGCTCTTTCATTTCGGACAGATTCTTCAAGAAGTTCATTTGGATCAGTTTTGTCCAAAGTCTTCTTTATATCAATATATGTTATCCATAAAAGAATTGTGCCACCTGTAATATAATTTTAAAAATATTTCTGTTATGATACTTATTTATTATCAATGTTAAATACATAGTAAATGCTACAATAAATGCACAATATTAATTTATTTTCGTTTTTGTTACATATGATAATTTCTATAAAAATGTTAAAATTTGTATTTCTGTGACAATATGCAAATAATAATTTATATAAAAAGTATACATATCACATATATTGATTTTTTTAATGATATACAATTATTGCTATAAATATTATTTATTAAAATTAGACAATTTGACATTATATATATATTAAGAAAATTTAGATCTGACAATTAACATTTTACGAGAATATACAACTTACCTGTGCAAGCAATACTCACGAGTATAATTATAATCCATGTCACAATATTTGCCAGTAAATGAAAGATGGATATTGTAAAAAGTGATAAAACTAAAAAAAGAGAATTAAATAAGTACTTGGTTATATAACTTATATGTACATTAACAATCTGCACTAATTTTCTTACGACAAGCAAGAAAAGATAGCCCTAAAATCTGCCTCCAGGTTTTGTACAAATCTCCCAAAACTTGTTCGATAACATCCCACGAATTAATTAAGCCATATAAATTCGATATTATCGTTTCGCTCACATCCTTGACTGCCTTAGGAATACAGCGATTTAAAACGGGTATACTAGAGTAAACTGGCAGCTTGGGACAAGATCCGTTCTTGAATTTGCTACTTTCGCTGTTACATGCACTGAAATCACCACCTGGTCTGTCATGGCATAATTGTGATCCCGTTTCTTTATAAAATGTACAAATATCATTTATGTTTTCCAAGACTTTGTCAGGACATTGTTTCACGCAAATTTTTAATGACTGAGTAACGTTATATATGTCCAGGAAGAATAAGTATCTGGAATATAACATATATATTTTTAGATTACAAATAGATACTTTGTCTCAAGAAGATAAAACATATGAGATACTACTGACGGTTTGTCACTGGTATCCTGCCCAGAAAGTTCCATGCTACCAAACTTTGGATTCTTCGTACCACACGTGTTTCCGAAACTGTCATATCCATTTATAAGCCGTAAGGGATTACCATAGACTATTGCAAAGGCAGCAATCAAAATCTACAAATGGGAAAGTTATTCTGTTAGAGCTTAAAGCTATTTGTCTACAAGAAATTTATCTAAAAATTTATCTAAAAATTATAAATTTAAAAATAAAAATAAAAATTATAAATTTTACATAAATAAATTTAATAAATAATAATTTAATAATTTCATTATAGAAGTAATTTTACATAAGTAAATTTTAAAAAAATATTTAAATGTAAACAATAGGCATTAATTGTGTACCATAAGAAACCAGAATGCTATAAAGAGGCATAGCCAGAAAACATCCGTGCATCCTCGCACCCGCGTGGGCTCGACGCGTTCCTCATTTTTGCCGGTGCAGCAAGACATTCTCTTTTCCGTCGTCTTGCAGATTGTTACTACACAGCTATACACGCTGTACAAAGGCACTTATTGAGCAAAGTCGTTATTGTCGTGTCGCCGCGCGTCCCTTTTGATTCGGAGCAATCCACGCCCAGTGCCGTAACGAGTGGCGGGGGGAGAGGTACCAGTAACAGAGATCCAAACGGAGATGTTTCGCGATTAATCCTGTAGTCATCGATAAACGCTCCAGGGTCGATCAGTCGCGATTAATGCTGTAGTCATCGATAAACGCTCCAGGCATGTCGTTAATAATTGCCTACGCTATTAATTGACCGAAATATCGCTCCGGACGAGTTCAGTCGCGCTTTTATCATCCTGAATAAGTGTCATCGAATCATTTCCGCGTGCCCATCTTCTTGGAAATTTCAACTCTACGAGTCTTTTCGGAGCTGGAAAGTTTTTCTCGAGCGCCAGCGCGATTGTCACGATGGACGGCCCTGCCATCGCGTTCCGGCGTAGTATCGTTTCCACGGTAACGAACGTATACATCACACACATTCAATTCTACACATATTGGAATGAACCATTGACAAGTGGGAACGGCACAGCTTTGAGAAAAAGACAGTTATATCAGGTAAGGGAACATCTATCATCTATCCTTGTTGCGGTTTTCCGATTGGCTAATGCAGAAAACCCGCTTCAGTAAGACCCTTCTTAAAAATATTATTCAAGAAATATTTCGAGATAGTATTCAAAAAAGTCTATTAAATGATTCAATAATAATTGATCATGACTATATTCTTATACATAATCACTGTTAATAATATTTATTGGGTCACGCGGCATTGTACTCAATTGAGGCGAATTTTTTAGTAAACGGTAGTATATACTTTATTAAAACGGGACAAGTATAAACCAACGCTATCTGTATCCTTTTCTACATTTGTGCCGCCCTCACCATGCTTAAACAAAGGGATGGCTCATTCCAATTCCAGTATATATAGATTTTACACACACACGATTGTGAACTTGTGGACTTCATTGAAGGCTTGTGATTTGCGATATGACAGCTAGAGATGATCGCGCCATTCAGTCCGCTCGAAAAGACGGTATGTTGTGAAAACATTAAACGGGTGTATCGTTAATAAAACAAGTTCCCTCATCTCTCTGTGCATATTTAATCATCAAATTTTAATTGTAAGTATTAATTGCCACTGACAAATATACTTATATACGTATTCTTGATTGTCCTTTCTCCCTCTCAAAAATTTTTGGAAGGGCCATTAAAAGAGGTCTTCTAGAATATAACCTATTCCTATATAACCTACTTATTAGACACAAGTGTTAAAAGTTTTCTTCAAAAAAAAGTTAAATGGAAAGCATGAAAACGTTACAGCTTATATCTCGAAATAGATTTCATTAATATACAATATTTTTAATTATTGATATAACGATTTTTCCAAAATTAATAATCATTTTTAATTAAAAATTTATGTGGTCTTAAAATAAAATAATTTATGTGGTCTTAAAATAAAATTTATTTGATATCTTAGAAATAATACATAAATAAATAAATTATTATTATTATGTGATTTTTTTCCTCATAATTATTCCTATCTCAACAATAAATTTATGAAAAAAATATGTGAAGATTTATAAAAAGAAAAACACGATTTATATAACGAGATATTTGCAAGCAATTTAATAAAATAATAAAATAATAAAATAAATAATAAAATAAGTATAGGATATAAAATTGATTTCAGTAATGGAGGAGAATGGAAGTAAAAGAATGAGAGGCAGAACTCGTGGCCGCGGTCGTGGACGTGCCCGAGGTCGGGCTAGAGGAAAATCTAAGAAGCAAGTTAAGGTAAATAAATGAATTTTAATTTACATTCTCATTTAAATTATAGTTTGTTATAGTTGTGCATTAAAATTGCTTTTCTCTAGGTTATTGAAAGCGACGATGAAGATACTCCTCAACAAACGGACGATACCCCTGCAGAGACAGTTGGTGGCGAACAAGAGGAACATGAACCTCCTGCGACTCAGCAGCCTTCTCTCGAGCAGCAATTCGATCTGGAAGCCGACATATCGCAATTGGAAGCGCCAACTTTCACGACTATCAATCGGGGTCCACCAGAACCGATGTTACGTTTAAGATGGGATCATCGAGTGAATCTTATAGGAGAGAAAGTACTGAATCCTATGATACATTGCTGTGACAAATGTCTGAAGCCAATTCTCATCTATGGTCGTATGGTATGTTTTATATATCTGTGCTAGAGAGAATTATATTATAAATTAACTCTTAATTATTGCTATTAATATGTTTTCAGATACCTTGCAAACATGTATTCTGTTTATCATGTGCTAAGAGAGAAGACAAAGTCTGTCCTCGTTGTATGGAGAAGGTGTCTAGAGTAGAACAAACTGGTTTAGGTACTGTCTTCATGTGTACACATGGTGGAACAAGATATGGTAATGCAGGATGTAGAAGAACATATCTCAGTCAACGAGATCTGCAAGTAAATAAATATTATTAATATCGTACATTATGTACAAAATTGTTATATAATAAAAATTATTTAAGATATAAAATTTAATAGTATGTAATTTAATACATTTTATAATCTATTATATATTATCTTTTATTACATATATAGGCTCACATTAATCATCGGCATATATCGACGCCATCCCAACCAGTCCAAGGAATACAAGTCGATCCTCCGCAATACGTGCATGCCAAGTCGGAGATGGAGTCGCAATTGACGAAGGTATCTTCTGTACCGATGCAAAATACACGACTCAAATCCGTGCAATCTCACATGGTTCAACCGATCATGGGTAACGATCCTCGCGTCAACTCGTTGGTGAGCCAGCAACCAACGTTGGAGCAACATCGGCAACAGCACAGACAGCAACAGCAGCAGCAACAGCAACAGGCAATGATGTCGATGCAAAGTTATGCGCAGAGTGCCGCGCCACCTCCGCCACCCCCGAATAACGCTCCAATGCGAACTAATCTAATTACCGTGCCGATTCAGGACTCGGCATCCTTAGCCACGCATGATCTTCATGGACAACAGAGTCATCACTATTATCCACCGCCGCCGCCGCCACCGCCACCGCCGGCACAAGTGAATTATGGTTACAATGTGCCACCACCGGTGTCACAGACGACGCAACAGTACTATCCGCAGCCGCAGCATCCGACTCAGGTATCTTACGTGCCACCACCTCCACCGCCGCAGCAGCAACAATATGTGTCATCGGCGGCTACTTCCATAAGACCGTCGCCTACTGGTTATATACAGGAACCCCAATATGGTCCACCGCCGTCTCAGCAACAGCCGCCACCGCCACCACAGCCACAATGGTCGCAACATCAACAGCAGTTTTATAGATAAGAAGAAAAAGGCTTTGGAATGTTGTGCAGTGTTGAAATGATGGTGATGTGAGTATTAAATTATAAAAATGACAGATACTATATCTCTATATGTATGTTATATAGAATGGATGTGATATCAATGAAAATTTTGCGCTCTTTAAGAGATTTTCTATTTTTAAAGATTTTTAAAATAATATATAATTAAAAGAAATGGAACACTATCATATGATACAAGCTCTATAATAAGTTATTTTAATCTTGTAATAAAACTCTGATTTGTATTTTATTATGACTCTTTCGATTTTTTCGACATTTGACTGATAAAAATAGTATTGATCTTTATTATGCTTTATCATATTGCTAGTGTTCTACTATAAAAAATGATCAATTTAATATAACATTTATCATTTCAAGAAAGTTATTGAAATATTTATAATATAATTGCATATATTGATACAAAACGTTAATAATGAGAATACATCTCTTGATATGAGCTATACAAATCTTTCTAAAATGTTTTTAGATGTAATACTCAAAAATTCAGAATATGTTTAAAGATTATTAGGAATTTTTTTTCACACAAATCCTTCTATAATATTTTCTTTTCATATTAGTTGTAATATATATTGTGTGGTAATGAAATTAAGGATATTTTTTTGGTAGAATTTAATATTGTACAGATTGTAACGATTGTAACTTATGTACAAAACTAATGATATACATACAACATGTACATATATATGTAATAATAATAATTATTACATTATATTCTTAAAACATGCCTTGTATGAATTCAACGAGAATTCATCAGTCATTCAATTAATTTTGGCCTTCCATTTTCCAGCATATTTGCAGTAATAAATATTAATTGACTAAATACTTGTAATAAAAGTGCTTAAGAGATTTGTCAAAGATGCTGCACACGAATAGAAGATCAAAATTGTTCAAAATGCACTCATACATAGAGAATTTTATCACATCATACATAAAAATAGTTCTTAATTTCATTCCATATGTATATATCACTATATGTATATATATATAATCACTGCCCCTTTTTAAAATCTTGTTCCCTTTACGTTTACATCAATCTTTATTATATTTACAGACTTGACTGTGAAATTGTAGATTTTATATACAACATGCCCTTCTTAATATTTTTTATAATTATTACTAGTCAAGCTATCTTTCTCACACACTTCCACTTATTTATATATATACGCGAATGTATCTATGAATGAATGAAAAATGTTATGCATTTTATATAATATTAAATACATTTTTATATAAAATAAGCAACCTTATATGAAGTGAAGTTATGTTACTAAAACTAAAATTTTCATTCATCCTATATAATTCTAGAAATTTAAATAAAAAAATTGATTTTAAATTATGAATAATAAGTGTTAAAAAATGAATGTACGTTATAGTAAATTATAATATTCTAGAAGTTTTTTGTTAGAAGAAAATATATATATATATATATATATATATATATATCTTAAAAAAAATTGAAATGTAAGTGTAAAATGTTTTGCATTATAGCAAAATTAGTCAAGTTTATATTACATCTGCACACATTAACAAAGAAGTATTATATCGCATTTTTGATGGTACAAAATTTACCATAAAGTAAAGTGTTACAGATGTGTCCACTTTTCTTTTCAATCTCATGTAGATTATGTTGCTGTATGCATTGCATTGAAAGCATTTTTATTATATATTATTATTAAATCGTCATCAAATTTTTTGATAGAACAGTGCGCTCTAATTGTATGGCACTATAAATCTATGATGTCGCCTTTTTTACGATAATATTAAAATTTTTGTATCATTCATTTTTACATAATCTTCAGTAACAAAGAACACTATTTTGCTTCTTGGAAAATAGTATTGTATAATGCAAAGATTGATTTTATATTTACCATTTTTAAAAATCTTCTAAAGATTATTCTTTTAAACACCGGCATTAATATGGCATGATAATCAATAAAGAGTATTATATAAAATCTGTGATAAATCATTGTATAATAAAGACGATAATAAAAATACTTCAATTAGCAATAAAAAATAAAATAGATACACAGAAATTTATTGCATGGAACAAAAATTAGGACATTTTTTTTTACTTATTAGATAATTTAATTTTCATTTTTTTTAAAGTAATAATACATTAATTTGAAGATTTTTTAAAAATAATTATTCTCTTATAAAAATTATTTCTATTCTTTTAAAAGAAAGAATAGAAATAATTATTTAACATTATTATTTTAATCATTATTAATAATAATTATTTTTAATTTTAATAATAATAATTATATTTAATTTTAATAATAATTATTATTTTAATAATTATTTCCTTATGATAATTACAAAAATATTTTTCAAATTTCTGCATAAAAAAATTTGATAGATTAAAATTACAATTTGCATAAGAATTGTAGTTATCAATAAATGTAATGACATTTTTCTGTATGATTTTTTACTAATAATGAATATTAGAGAAAAATAGATATATTAATAATAACAAATAATTTAATATTTGTGAAAAAATAATTTATCAAATTAATGGCCTAAATAATAACGATAATATATGTTCCATTCATAGATACATAGTTAAAAAAATACGTTTTAGACTCATTATTGAATATAGCCATATTATAAACCTGCCTTATAAATATGTGTACTCTTTAGAAGTTTTTCAATGCAATTTATAAACCTATTGAAATTTAGTCAGTCTCATATAATCACGTACTAGTAGAAGGATGATTGTGTATATTGACACTGACTTGTGGAATAAGCGGTGATGCAAGAGGTTTAGGTGTGGTGGATTCAGGTATTGGTATGGAAACTGCAGGAGGAACAGGAGAATGTTTTTTAGCTCTGTCTGGTTGCCAAGGTTTTGCGTGATCTTTGTTTAATCTCTCACTCAGTGCTTTCAATGCTATTTGCCTGCAAAGTAGACATTGATTGGAAAGATCAAAATATTAGTAAATTGTAATTTTATGCTTCAAAAACTGATTTTAAATATTATATATATTAAAAATTGAATTCCTATATTTATGTCACGTGTTTTGTTTTATAGCTACTCACCTGCGCCGTTCGCTATCATGTGGATCAATACCAGGAAGATTAATAACCAAGCCAGGCGGTGTGTTGGACATGTCAAATCTTCTAACTACTTTTCGACAAAGTCCAATACGTACAAAAAATCCATGTATAGTGTTACTCACTACTGCTATTGGTGGTTGCAAGACATTTGGAAAAAAGCTGTAAGAAAAGCTCAAGATGAAGCAAGCGGATCATTAGTATTTCACAAATGGAGTAAAAGTTACAAATTTTTACCTCGCAAATGTAAAATTATCTGCCATGTCTCCTCGAGTACCATTATTGTGTTTTTGATAAAATCTTAGATATATCCAAGATATTAACAGTCCACTGAGAAACATAGTGGGATGAGTACCTTCTAATAATCCAATAAGCCATAATATCAATCCCACAATCCATACCATTAAGGGTATATTTCTATTTGTGATCTTTCCAATGGGTGTCTTGATTAAGATATGATCTGGCATTATTTGCTTCACTGCCACTGCAACTCCTACAAAATAAAATTATCATATTATTAAGAGAAAATCTTTTTGGGAAACTCTATATATCTCTTTGTCTTAGAAAAAGTACAAACATTTTATAATCACAAATAATATTGAGAATATTTTAAAATCAAGTTTATCAGTATTTTAAATGAATCAATCAACTTTTAGTTTACAATTTCATTCAATAACACATGCAGAATAAAAAACCAGATTCATCCTGGCCAGTAGCGATACTTGCCAAGCATGAAGGAAAGATACCTGCAATATAGCCAGTCAATCCATGTATGTGTGTGTTAAAGAGCAGATCCGGATTGTTGGTACACATATAGAGGAACAGGTAGAAGAGCGCCGAGAGCACGGCTACGCCAAAGTTGACGATGGCGAAGAAGGTCATCATCTCGAAAGCGCCCCATAGAGGCTCGATCAGTTTGCCGCAGAGGCCTACGGTGACGATGTCCGCGCATACTTCCCAAAAGTGTATCTCCAAGAAGCAAAAGGTGAAGGCCGTCCAGAACCAGAAGACCGGTGGCAGAAGGTAACCTGGTGTTACGCTCAGGATGCGCACCGCTTCCTCGGAAAAAGATAGACCATAAGAGAACAACACCACGACGCAGATGAACTTGACGCTGGTGCTCGTGTTGCCTAGCAAAGCTGCAGCCTGTTGCCTCAAGTAAGGGATATTCCTACCCAGGCCCTTTATCGCCGCCATCGCCGCGAGCAAACCTAACCTCTCCTTCTTCGCGCGCCCCGAAGGGAGAGAAGTGCTCCCGTCTGACGTTGGCCGCGCAAGTTGACAGGTCGCGTTCGAAGATGCAACTCATCGGAGTGGAGTGTCCGATCGACCAATCAGGAAGAGAAAATCTGTTTGCCTCGATTGGTCGATCAAGTTCCATCTAACGAGTGTTAGATTTTCGAATGTGATTAGATAGGTTTCGATACGTAACATCAATTATCGATTTCTATTGGTCGTCATCCAAAATCGAGACGCTTCGACTAAAAATTCAAAAAACGCGGGCATTCCGTCATCATTCCTTTGTTTGCATCTTCGCTCGATCGTTGACGTTAAACTGCGCAAAATTTGGGATCTTTGTGGAATCGCGCGAGATGTCGAATAAATGCAAATGCTGTCTCGTAAGTCTTTTTATATATGTCATCTTGATTCGACTAACGATAAGTAAAGATTAATATGAAGTCACTTTGGACTTAAAACGCGAATGTAAAGCAGGACAGCTTGCACTCGAGTAACTTAACCCAGTTAAATTTCTCTTTATAGACAACCGTTATAAATACATTAGTTATGGTAGATATTTAATGATATTTCACGATTGATTTTTGAAAAAATTTAGATATACTCTTGCACACTATTTTCTTGATTTATTTTTATACTAAAATAAATTTTTTGGTTCCTTAATTTCTCCTCATGCACGTGAATTTTATGTATAGTTTTTATTATCTTTGAATAATTTCGCGTAGAAATAAGAAAATCCTTCAATTTCACACACATGAAATATATATAATTATAATTATAATTTTATGTAGCATCTTCTATCTAAAATTTCTACTTATTTCTACTTATATCTCATTTTATTTATAACATTTGCATCTATAATTTACATATATTTTCACAAAAAAAAACAAATTTTTTAAAAATTTATACTAATAATTTGTATAATTTACTCATCCTCGCTTTGAGAATATTATTATTTATAGATAAATGTTATTAGCTAGTGTGCTATATAGTATGACATCTCGTCGCGGCGAGGCGCCACTCTAGTTATTTTGCAAGAATTGTTTCATTTCCCGCCATGTTCTCGCGACATTATTCGCAAATTCGTCGATTTCTTTGAAAGTATCGTTATCTCTCTTTCGCCATTTCACGCATAAAAATGACAGTTTAACTTTGATTCGCGAATTACTATCGATCGTCGAACGATGCGATATTTGGAGGAAATCATTATCTCAAAAGAACAGATAGTTATTGCAACAGTAATGCAACTTTGCACGTCGACGAACAACAGGTAGAGTGCATTATTATGTAATAAATATTAATTTGACGAGTATTTGTCATGTTTGTAAAAAAACAGATTGATAAAAATTACGATATGAATATTAAATTTGTTTTCGATCAGTGATCGAGCTATATTATTCGTTTTTAATTTAAAATCACAATTAATTGTACCGAAAAGATTAAATTATACATATTATAGACAACTAATTTAATTAAATTATCGAATATTTATTATTGTAAAATAATAAAAGCTGAAATAAGAATAAATTACACAATTTATATATGTAGATAAAATTATAGAAAATTGAGAAGAAAAAATTGTAACAAGGGCGTATAAATATAAATAATAGAGTGACAATGATGCTACTTTCAGTCTTGATACAATCGATAGCATTTCACGTTTAAAAAGTAATTATTCTATTAATTTATATAAATCAAGTTAAAATTTTTGGAATAAACAAATTTATCTCAATTTTATAATTTTAAATTAAAAATATGTAATGATTTTATTTGAATTAAAAAAATCAACTGAAAAAATTGTAAGCGAAATAATTAATGCTAATTAAGCTAAAATAAATTCTGTTTTTGTGACATAGGCTATTCAACTATCAATCATCTACGAAGCAAAAGCTTTGTCGGTTTTGGACTCTATCATCTGCGGGGTCAAACACAGCCTTTGAGAGTAATACCGGAACTTGTCTATTATCTGCGGAGCAAGAAAATCGATTGAAAGCGCATAAAGAAAATTTGGAACAAACTCATCGATTCTCCGATAAAATATCCCTACGAAAACAGCAGCGACGCTATCAATTACAGAATGCCACGCGATTAACTCGGATTTCAGCAAAGGAATGAGCAGTCCTCGAAATCAATTCAGGTAAGTGTAAAGAATAATAATATAAAAATATTTGTTTGTGCTTTTAACTGATTTAATCATATACGTATGTACTTAAACTGTGAATAAGATTTATAATGGAAATATTCATAATGATTGAACTTGAGATTGCAAATTATAATATGTGGGACATTCTGCAATATGTATGATAGAAGATAAGTTTTTGAATGATATATTTTTTTAATAGAAAACAATTTTACATTTGAATAATTTCTTTGCAATATAATTATAAAAAAGAATTTAAAAAAAATAGAATACGTAGTACACGAATACCTTCGTTATCAGAGATTTTTTCGTCCCTTCGAGATGTTCTGTGTTTATGTCATGTTACGAAGTACTTTTAATCGATCGCTCCCAATTGTCACTCTGTGCATAGTATCTATATACGTAGCTGCTTGCACCAAAGTGGCGGTGGGCGGCTAAATGAGATAGAATTGAGGATTATGAGCATAGATATTTCTAATTCTACGGGCGAAAATCGGACAAAAGTGATTGTATCCACTTGCGAGTCTTCTTCCCTCTGTCGCGAGTCTAGGACGATCGCTGTTGACACCCCCGATATCGCGCCATCGTCGAGACGAGAGTGCTCGTGTCCGTCGCGGCCGTTAACGACGATTCGCTGCGCGCCTTTTCGCAGACGGGTGTCCTTCAGCGACACCACCGCTTTCATCGAGACCGCCGCCGATCATCGCCGTGCTACGATCATGCAAGATTATGATCCAACGAGTCCATGTCACGATAATAGCAGAGAACCCGAAAATAAATCGAGAGAGCGGGAGAATTTCGACTACGATATATGGCAGGAGGACGATTCGTCGGTCGGCAGAAGCGATGATGGATACTCGGAAAATACGCCGAGGATCGATAATTACGCGGAAAATCCTTGCACTTTCGACAACGACAAGAGCCAGCGTTCGCATTCGAAAGATATCGACGAGCAGACGATCGAAAATGATGGATGCAGGCGAAAGGAATGGAGCAGCGAGAGTGACGTTTGTTTGGCGGTTCGCGCGACTGAAAATAAGAAAGGCGAAATAAGAAAAATCGACGATACCGTATCAAATGAGAACTTATTAAACCACGTGCACAAAGATGTAGATTCGGTCATTGACGATGAGCATCGCATGCGAGGAGGCTGCAGTGGATGTTACTGCGGAGCACGTGACAAGTGGGTGAAATGTCATTCTCTTGCGCTAAATGGATAGAGTTTATCGAAGCTATAAATATATACATGTTATAAAATCGAATTTTATCATTTTTTATTTTTTTGCAATCTTTTTTTGCGAAAAATATCACTTATTTAAAGAAAGTTTGAATTTAGAATATTTATAGAAAAAACCATATCGTAAATTTAAACATATCGAAGCAAACCTTGCAAACTGCAAACGTTACTATAAATCTTTTATGCAAATATTTATTAACGATATTTACGACACAATGTCTCGACGCGATATTAGCATCCGGAGGAGTTACGGTTGTTATTGCGGAGGATTCGTGTCGGAGCCAAATGAACCATGCGCGTCCAATGCGAACGCCAAGACAACGTGCATTGTGCCGTCGCGTTGCTGCTGTCGTTGTCTTCGAGTCTGCAAGAAATTGGCCAAATGTGAGACACCTCCATGCATGACAGATGTCCAAAGTTGCAGCGGCAGTAGATGTTGTGGGTGCCGTTGCGAGAAACCCGGTCAGATCTGTATATCGCCGCCGAAAATCTACAGTTCGCCAGCTCATTCTTCGCGTGGTAGGTCTCCCTGCGCACCGCGTTGTCTTTCACAGTCACCGTGTCTTAGCAGAGGCTGTTGCAGCGGAGCCTTCGAATGTGCAAGGTGCAAAATACAACTCGCTTCTATTATCTCCGTACAGAATGTCTCATGTATAATGTATTTTCAAGCTTTTTTTGATCGATTTTTGAAGGTTTTCAATATAATATTCTTATTTTTTAATTAAAATTATAATTGATTGAATATATGTAATAAAAAAAATTAATTAAAAAAGCATCGAGAGTAATCTCAATTCTATCTACATCAAGACAGAATATGTGACTGCTTGGTATACTTCGAGTTTGCATAAGAGTAATTTTGATTTATGTGCACAGGTCGAACAGCCCGAGATGCCGGTCCATCATTGGTAACGAATGCTGCATCAATGAAGGAGCAAAGTGCGGTACCGATGGAGTCTGCTGCCGCTTGAGATTACAGTGTGAATGCCTCGGTGGTGGCCTCAACTGTCGACGATGCGGAAGAAAGGTCTATCAGGCTGAAATGCAGGTAAGTACAATATTATTAAGAGTGTACAATATTATTAAATATCAATATTACAATATATTGACATCTGGATTGCATAATCAAATTCAATAACATATTTGAAAAGAATACTTGAATATTCATCCAATGATATAAATAGGAATATAAAAAAAAAAACGTTTTCACACTGCATGATATAATAAATTATAAAAAAAAACAGAAAAAAATTTCACGAAGAATATTGGAAATGTTACGCGTAAAATTTATTACTTTCCAAGATCGTTTCCGGAGTACCGTACCATAGCATTTGCTTCAGTTGCTTTTGTTGCCGAAAGCCCTTGGAATCGTTGACTTATCAGGAGAACTGCGGCGAGATTTATTGCAAACGTTAGTATTATTAAGTTACGAAAGACACAGACATTTTCGAAAATTTTTACGAGATAAATCCTCTTTTTTGGAGCTTTTTCTAATATTTTTAATGAAGAGAGAAATACCTCTCAACACTTAATATCCTTTAATTGGATAAGATATTAGACTAAGTTCGACTTTCAGTTAATATTACGGACATTAACCGAGTTTCTTCGATAAATTGCACAGAATGTTACGTTCGTAATTTCGGACCGCAAGGATATGGTTATGGCGTGGGAGCCGGCGTATTGCAGACTCCTTTGTGAACTCGTCGACTACCAAATATCGGTCGCATATTCATGCGAAAGTATTCAAGTATAGTTACAAAAATTTTTTTCTCCCGAGTATCTCTATTTCTTTACGACAGTCATATAATGTCAGACAAGAGTTTAGTGCGTATTAAAACGGTCTTATGGTACTGTAACGTTTTGTATGTTTCGTATACACGATATTTGGTGAGCGTTTTATTGAAATAAATCTTGTAGCAAATACTCGATATTGTTTACGATTTTTAATCTAGTTTATTCGATAATAAGTCGCTAGAGGCAAATAAAACACGAACGTGCAGAAGTCGAGTTGCGAATTAAAAGAAAAACGAGTAGAAAAAATTCGCGAAGCGCACGAGGAGGAAGGATAAAATGGCCGCTTTGTGCAAGAAGAGAGGAAAGTGATATATTCGGTTTTTATCGAGTCTCTTTGGCAGCTAACATTTGCAAAATAACTCGTCGAGGACCGATCGCAGAATAAACGGGATAAAATGGAGAGGTGGGTTACGTAGGAATTCAAGGCGAGAGAAAAGTGGAAACAGGAAAAGATTCGCGATGTAGGGGAAAGATTGAACGAATACGGGTGCCGCTATATTTTCGGGAGGAAGAGGACGGAGGGAAGCGCGCATATACACACGGAGGTACGTTCGCGGATTTGCAAAACAGAGAACGAGAAGCGAGAAAGGCGAGAAGGAGGACGAGGAAAGAATGAGCGGTTGGTTTATTGAGTCTCTCTCTCTCCGGCGCGGTGGATTTGCGCGGAGGAAGGCGCAGGCGGAAGGGCGTTTATATAGCTTTCAGGCGCAGAAGCTTAATCTAATTTCAAATATAAATCTGTTCTCCCCGTTCTCTCTCTCTCTCTTTCTTTCTTTCTTTCTTTCCTTCTCTTACTTCGTTCCCTTCTCTTTTTCTCTTCTCTCGCTCTTTTCCTTCCATCTGCCGGCGTCCTTCCTATCCGTGTAGCAGCGCGCTTACATTATACCCGTCCGGCTACGAATAATGTTTTTCGCTTTTCCCATTAACGTTACGAGACACGACGACTTACGTAGCACGCTATTCAACGGGCGAACGCACTGGCTTTCATGACGTTTTCCATATAAGTACAATTATGGGCACAATAAGACGTTGAGTCTGAGAGAAAAGGCGTACAAGAATGTTCTCTTTTACTCTGCTTACAGACACTAAATTTTCGTGACGAATGTTTTCTGTAGAATTTATACAAGTTTATGAAAGGCATGTTTGTGATACATGACTTGATCTTAATAATTCGCTCCAAAATTTTTCATCGTTTTCAAGACAAGCTACAGATTTATTTATAGACTTTATTTCAGGCCGAATAAAATCTTTGTAAATTTTTTTCAGACACAGTATATAAATAATTTCTGTGCTCCTTTCGCGCGTCTCTCTGTCTGTGATTTATTCATACATTAAGACTTAATATTATAAAAGATACATTCGTCTGAGCGATTTTGATGAAATTCGTCGGTCTTGTTTACGTAGAGAAACGCTTCGCGAGAGTTTGTCGACGATTACGCGCGATCGCGGAATATTTACACTACAGCTTGGAACAATTCCCGATTTTTTTTACCGCTCGTCGCCCGGGACTCTATGCCAATTTTCCAATGTAAACCGGCGTATTTAAATTGGCCTCGGGCCGGAGGACTCGGGAATTTAAAAACGTTAGCTGCAATTTTTTTCCGCTACCACGGCGGCGACGGCGGTGGCGGTGGCGGTGGCGGTGGCGATGGCGGTGGCGAAGCATCGGTGCATCGAAATCGGCAAAATATCTCTTTCCATTTGACGGCCGCTGATTCGGCCCGGGTCTTTTGTGCGCTGCGTGGCGCGCTTATTTCGAACCGGTATGAAAATCAATTATTTCGTTAATTCGTGCGTTACATTGGCTGTCACGGGGCCATCACTGTGAGCGACAGCGGCCCAAGGCGCTATTTTTCAATTCCCGATGTCGCCCTCGCCTTTCGCGAATCCGTATTTCCGTTTCGCTCTGTCGTCCCCGGCGGCCTTATCCCTATTTCTCTCTCCTCAATGTTGGGTCCAGCATTCCGGAAGTTTGCTAAGACTCAAATTGCCGTTTAAAACTCGCCGTAAGCTGAGGAAACTAATGCGAAATATTTAAAATCGTTCTTATACAATTTGAAATGATGGGAACTTCAAGATTGAATTGTGTGTGCAATCACTCGTGCGATCGTAATTCAGTAAAATCAAATATATATTAATTAAATAACTCATTAATTATGTTTACAAGAATGTTAATATTTATTTTTATTATTTATCATTTATTTAATTATTTGTTACTTAATATGTATTATTAAATTTATTATTATTATTTAAATTAATCGTTATTATTGTAATATTAATATTATTGAAATATTACAAAGAAATAATGAATAAATATACGCTCGAATAAATTGATGTTGACTTTTGGCAAAACAATCTTCAATCGCCATTCTATATTTTGAAAAAAAATTGATATTTTCACAATAATTGATTGTGTGCAATATCTGTCAGGATCTTTTACAAATGAGGAAAGAGAATAATTTTTTAGCATTTTTGCTCCTTTTTACAGAAAAATTACGCGAGATGTTGCAGAATTGGGCTCGAAATTATACAAATGAATGCAACAAATATTCTTAAAATGAAAACAATATATGGTGTAAAATATAATACGTTTATACTATTCTGCGATAATTAAGTTTTTTCAGAGTGGTTTTTTTACGCGAGAAAAACAGTTTGATATATTTTTTACGTACATAATGCGCTTGTTCGTAACATTTGTAAAAGTTCCTTTAATTTGGTTGTTCTATATGCAAAAGTTACTTTAATTTATTGCAATGCGTCTGACTGGTCCTAATTAACGTACAGCGCGAATAAAACACGCTACGGTTGATGCGTGATATGAGTTTCAGTCTCTACATCGTCGTTCCGCGAACGAGTGTATAATTAATTACCAGCATTTGGACATGCGCGTAATAGCAATGAAATCACGGCAACGATTTGCGAGAGAAAGAGAGAGAAAAATCGACTGTATAGTATGTATATACCTACCTATGGGATATAACATTGAAATTAATATCATCTCATTTGTCAAAGTACGATCGTCTTTCGGCATCTCTACGATGGAAAGCACCGTTTAGGGGACGACGAACACCGAACCCTAAAACGGGGGGGGGGGACCCCAAACACTGTCACAACATACGACGTGTTAAAAGCAACGCGGTATTAATAGCATGTTATGAATTAGCCATTTTTGTGCGAAGCGGTACAAGTAGGTCACCGAATTCCCATGATACGTTTTCAATTGGCAGGGAAGAGAGCATATTTCGGGCTTTTATAAAAATCAATATGACTTAAATGTATGCACGCACACAACAGAACAGAAAAAATAGAAATAAGTTTTCAAAAAAGTATATATTCTGCGCAATTTTACCTATACCAACAATTTTACTAAATAGAAATAACTACTTTTGTTTATATATTTTTAATTAAAAATAATGGAGTAAAATCAAATAATACTTAAGTGACATTCTATTATTTGTTTATTAGTTGAATTAAATTCTCTCTCTCTCTCTTTCTCTTTTTTCTCGTGATATTTTGAAAGAAGCAGGTGGTGTTATGTTTTAATTTTATTATATAATATTTCTTTTTTAAAATAATATTTAATTCAGTGTTTTAATTAAAGAGCTAGAACTTTGAATTTTTTTTAGCGAAGCTCGTGATTAAATCCAATAAAGAGATAAAGAACATTATGCGATTCAGAATAAATTAGATATACATATCATTTAGTATTGAAACGATCACGCAGTGAATAAAAATAAAGGCTAAATGTGTGAAATGGCAGATGCAGTTTGCGGTTAGAAAAGTGAATAGCTTTAACCAGATCTCGTGGCAAATTCAGGGAGTGAGGGAGGGGTGACCATAATCTTACCCCGTGTGTCTAATTGGCTGACGCGTGGATATTACCGTAAAGAATCTCACACGTGCATTTGGAATGCATTGACTATAGTCCATTCACTATAGCGTTGAAGGGGTAAAGGATCATTTAAATGACGCTTGTCGAATCGAGCAGTATTTAAATCGAATTAATAATACGAACTTGGGGAGACTCGCGTTTTATTTCTCCTTGTTATTCATTTATTTAACATACTGATTCATATGTAAGAAAAACGAATAACAAGGAAGTAATGTATTATATTCTTCCAATTCGCGTAAGCAAGCTATATTATTTATCCTACTATTTTTTTAAAATAATTTTTATAGAATTTCAGCTTTTAAATTTTTTGAAAAATGAATGAAATATAATTTTATATATGTGCAATGTTTTTTTTTTTCTAGCATTAAATCCGATGATACGGGGATGATTTATTTGAAACTAAATAAAAATACTGTATGAAACTATTAATGACCTCATGCGATTGACGCGATTATATATAAAGCAAGTAAAAAATAAATCGCGTTCATACAAATTGTCAAGTATGGAAAACATTTGACGCTTAAATCTAGAAGCGAAGGATTAACGAGACAAAAAAAATTCTCGATGACAAAATCGGTTGATTGTCGATAAGAGCCATCACGATCTCCTCGTCCGTGAAGCGATGAGAGAGCGTAACACGGTATACATATAATAACAAAAACATTAATAATAATACGCCGAAGAGCGGGACCGGGTCCCGATGTGTGCAGCGCGCGCGTGTTTAATTTGCATGGTATAAATCGTGTTTCCGGTCGAGCACGCAACGCAAACACGCGTTACGTTTGCGCTCTCGGTCGGTTTCCCTCCTCGGACCGACGAGAGAAAGAGCGTCGTTCTCTCGCGTCGCGTCGCATTGTGACCCCGCTAATTTATGATTCGATAAATAAATCAGCGCCATTTCGTCCTCTCCTTCTCTCTTTTCTCCCGCAGTCCCCCTCCTTGCCTCTCCCTCCCCGTTGTTGTTATTGTTAGTCGCTCGCGCACACTTGTAAGATGCTCTCGGGGATTACGCCCAGTTAAC